ATGGCCGGGCACGCAGAGCTTCCGCATGTGTATCCAGAACGTGGCCTCCAGATGTCCCACACGAGAATCCAGCCATGTATTCCCAATTCCTGGTAGGTTCCCAGAGGGTCTCCAACTTCGGGATGCTCGCCACCTGCTGCGCTTCGGCGGCGGGGTTTCTCGGGGTCCCCAGGCCGTAGTGCCGACCGGTGGTTGCCAAGCGAGTCCGCTTCCGCACCACAGCACCACAAGTTGGAGGCCACGGCCTCCATGCCATGCCCGGATAGCACGGGCGGGCTCTTCAGAGAAGCGCGCACGACTGGCGTTCGCTTCGCCTCGCGTCGCCGGAGGTTTTCCACGGGTCCCGGAACGTCTCGGAGGGCCATCGGTGGCCCGAAGTGTATGATGTATGGGTCCGTCTCCAGTTTTGGGGTCTCGGGGCCGCCAGAACACGGCTCGGGATGAACAGGTGGCCTTCGGGACGGGGTCGGGAGGTCCGACAAGGGCGCGTTCTGTGGCCGCTACGGGGAAAAAGGGGGTGGACGACCCCCCCCCCTTGGATGTACGAAAGGACGGGTTCCGACCCCCCCCCTTTCCCCCCCTAGTCGCCGACGGTAAAAGGGCGCCTACGGCGAATGTCGAGATGTCCGGCGGCCCAGGCATGGAAACATCGAAGCGCTACATGTTGGGTTGTCGTTTTCGTTCTCGTCGTTTTGGAGGGGATGCGTAGATTTTGGCTTCGCATGTTTTCACATCGTGCATTTTCGCCCGTCTGTGGCCCCAGCCTGACCTGTCGATCCAGTTCGAGAAATGGCTTACGCAGATTGGGTCGATGGTTTCGGTCTTCATTTTGTACTATGCAGTTTTTTTGCGCGACGTCGGGCCTCAGGGGAGGTCCTCGTCGCCACGGCTGTCTGCGGCCTCAAAACCGGCCAGGTTGGACCCCGGAAGGGGGCTGGGCGGGGCGTCTTAGAAGCTCCCCTTGCCTTCGTAGAAGTCTTGCTAGAAGCCTACGACCCCTTCTCAAAGACCCCTTGCCTTATGCCTCATACCGTAACCTTGAGCCAGTGCTCGCAGGCGATTGGAGCCCACCAACCCGCACGTGCTTGTCGTGATGTTTCCACCTCTTCCCGCTCCTCTGCGAAGGCGTCGGACAACTCGGTGCATGTCTTGAGCCTTTTATCGAACTCCCCAGATGACGTCGTTTCCTTCACGACGCGGACCCCTAACAAGGTCTGCATCCCTTCCCATGGATTGCTTTTTTACCCTGAGTCTGTCTCTGACGGTTCGGGGGCCCAGCCAGGAGCGTGGAATCTGTGTAGATTTGTCTGTCTCCATCCGAGCCCCTTTGTTTTGACGCTCCGTCCCCCCCCCCTGTATAGTGACCTCCCGCCTCAGATGTCGCGCTCCAGGTCCGAGGCTTGAGTTCTTTTGGGGGCGCTCCTGGTCTTTGGCGTTGGGCTTCGAGTTGTTCTCTCTCCACGTATCCCCAGAGGTGGTTCTTCTTAGGTGTGATGCCTCCACCTCCCTCCTTTCTTCCTGCCTTCCTTCCCTTTTTCTTCCTCTTCCCTCTCGTCACTTTCCCCTTTCCGTTCTCAGACTCACTCGTAATCGGACTCATTGACACTCAGGCCTACTCACACGCAGACTCACTCATACTCAGACTTTCTAACAGACTCCGCCACACTCAGACTCACTCGCATTGGGACCGACTCAATCTTAGGCTCACTCGTACACGGGCTACTCATGCTCAGGCATGCACATGCAGATCCACTGATGCCCAGGCCATATACATATAACGGCGCACCGGGTCCGGGGGCCCGGGGCCGGGACCTCGACCACAAATGTGGGCTCCGGGGGGCCCGGAGGCTCGTCGGGGCTTGCCGGAGGCCTCCCCGGTCAGACAAGACGGCCCCAGGAGCGCCCAAGACGGCCCAAGAAACTTCCAAGAGGCCTCCAAGAGGGCTCCGAGATGCTGAAGATGGCCTCCAGACGTCCAAGGACGCCCCCAAGAGGCCCCAAGAAGCCTCCAACATGCGTCCCAAGAGGGCCCCTAGACGCAAAAATTGGCCCATTCCCTTCGTAAAACGTACATTTTCAACAAAGTTGTCTTTTGGGCTTTCCGACGTTACAGGACGGCCCAAGAGGCGCCCAAGACCGCCCCAAGACGGCCCAAGAAGCTTCCCAGAGGGCCCCAGGACAGCCCAAGAGGGCCCCAAGACGGCCCAAGAGGCGCCCAAGATGGCCCAAGAGGGCCCCAAGACGGGCCCAAGAGGGGGCCCAGAGGGGGACCACGAACCGCAAGCTCGAGCCTTCCGCCCCAAGAGGCCGCCAGGAGGCCCCCAGGAGGCCCCTCAAGAGGCCCCAGGAGACCCCAGACGTCCAAGGACGCCCCCAAGAGGCCCCAAGAAGCCTCCAACATGCGTCCCAAGAGGGCCCCTAGACGCAAAAATTGGCCCATTCCCTTCGTAAAACGTACATTTTCAACAAAGTTGCTTTTGGGCTTTCCGACGTTACAGGACGGCCCAAGAGGCGCCCAAGACCGCCCCAAGACGGCCCAAGAAGCTTCCAAGAGGGCCCCAGGACAGCCCAAGAGGGCCCCAAGACGGCCCAAGAGGCGCCCAAGATGGCCCAAGAGGGCCCCAAGACGGGCCCAAGAGGGGGCCCAGAGGGGGACCACGAACCGCAAGCTCGAGCCTTCCGCCCCAAGAGGCCGCCAGGAGGCCCCCAGGAGGCCCCTCAAGAGGCCCCAGGAGACCCCAGACGTCCAAGGACGCCCCCAAGAGGCCCCAAGAAGCCTCCAACATGCGTCCCAAGAGGGCCCCTAGACGCAAAAATTGGCCCATTCCCTTCGTAAAACGTACATTTTCAACAAAGTTGTCTTTTGGGCTTTCCGACGTTACAGGACGGCCCAAGAGGCGCCCAAGACCGCCCCAAGACGGCCCAAGAAGCTTCCAAGAGGGCCCCAGGACAGCCCAAGAGGGCCCCAAGACGGCCCAAGAGGCGCCCAAGATGGCCCAAGAGGGCCCCAAGACGGGCCCAAGAGGGGGCCCAGAGGGGGACCACGAACCGCAAGCTCGAGCCTTCCGCCCCAAGAGGCCGCCAGGAGGCCCCCAGGAGGCCCCTCAAGAGGCCCCAGGAGACCCCAGACGTCCAAGGACGCCCCCACGACGCTTCGCGTCACCAATTTCTTCTCACAACGATTCCTGGGTCTGTGACTCGACAGAACCTAAGCGCGCGCGAAGCGCGCGCGTGGTTCTAGTTCATACATATACTTTACTCAGACCACTCGCGCTCTGATCCACTCAAACTCTACTAATTCATACTCAGGCCAGTTCGCACTGACCAATCCAATTACACTCTGACCAGTCACTCTCAGACTCGCTCATTCGCAGGCTAACACTTGCACGAACCCACACTTGGTCACTCACACGCAGACCCACACATACTCGCTCCTCATGGTCAGACTCGCTTATGTTCACCGCGCTGCAGCAGGCATGCACTCGGGCACCCAAAGGAGGAGCCGCCAGGGAGGGAGGCACTTGCCGGTTCGCGGCCGGACTGTTTGGATATCCAGCGCGAGGCGCTCGGTTTGCCCGTCGGACTCTTCACCGTTTGAGAGTCACGGCTGCCGCGATACAGCAGGCATGGCGTTTGGGCACCCTGATGACGAGCAGCCAGGGGGGGGGACACTTGCCTGTTCGTGGTCCGAACGTGGGGATGTCTAGGGCGATGTGCTCGTCTTGCACCTCCGACCCCTTTCCTTTCAGAGCCTCATGAGCGCGATGAACCGGCCACTCGCAGAGGGGGGCAGGGGGGGGGAAGGCTTCTTAGAAGCACCCCTGCTTCTTGGAAGGCGCTGGACCTTAGTTGCCTCGATACGCGCGTTTTGAAACGCAACACGGCCCGTGTTCACGACGTCCGTGTCAATGCGTTGCGTGCTGGCTCCACGTATTGGACCACGTTTGGGCGAATGTATCGCGTCGGACCTACGTTTTCAGCCTACGTGTTGAGTTCCGTATCGATACGGCACGTGTTGCGTGTGGCGTATCGGGGCAGCTAAGCGCTGGACCTATCTGTAGATGTGAGGCCGGGGCCTCCCACGAAGCAGGGTGTTTCTAAGAAGCCTTCCCCCCCTCCCCCCCTGCCCCCTCTTGCGCGCCGCCTAAAAAACAGCAGGCGTGGCACGTGGGCCCCCGCAAGGCGGACCCGCCAGGGAGGGGGACGCTTGCCCCCTCACGGCCAGAGTGTGTGGATGTCCCGAGCGAGTCGGCCGCTCCGCACCCTCTATTCGGTTCCTGCTTTTTTACAGAAAGTTCACCGCGGGTCAGCAGGTATGCGATTTGGACACCCCAAGGAGTTTCTCCGCTCGCGCCCAGATTGGAGGGACGTCTCGAGCCGTTCGCGTGCATGGAGTCTTTTTTGTGTTCTCTCTCTCTCTCATTCTCTCACTCTCTCTCTTCTCTCTCTTCTCTCTCTCTTCTCTCTCTCTCTCTCTCTCTCTGCTTTTACAGAGCCCCAATTGTCACCACGCTGAAGCAGGCGCGGCATGCGGGACCTCCGCGGAGGAGCAGCCGCGGAGAGGGGGGTACTCACGGACACTTGCTCGCGCCCGGCCGGACTGCGGAGCTGTCTCCCAGCGATGCGCCCGACTGCCCGGCTGGGGGTGCAGCGAGCGGTGCGCTCGCTTGGAGACGCCGTCTGCTCTGCTGTGAGGGCCCCGTGGCCACCGCGAGGTAGCCCCAGACCCCCGACGTCCTGTTTTTTTCACCACGTCGACCCCCAGAGGTCTCGACCCATTCCCCGGGACCGGCTCTTCATCCGGAGTCGTGTTTTGATGGTCCCGAGGCCCGGGAAGGCCCCCAGAGGCCGGAAGTTGTGCAAAACCTTCCGTCGTGATTCTTGTCCATGCCTCGAGGGGGTCTGGGGCAGGCCCGAAAGGCCCCCAGAGGCCGGAAATTGCGAAGAGCCCCCCGTCGTGATGTTTGTCCATGCCTCGAGGGGGTCGTCTGGGGCAGGCCCGGGCAGAGAGAGGGAGCCGCCCTGCAGGCGACCCCCGCAGAGCCATCTTGGCTCAGGCCGCCCGGCGCGGCCGCGCCCGAGCGGGCGCGCGCCCTCCGGGCGTTCTCCGGGCGCCGGGGCCTCCTGTGGGGGAGGCTTCCGAGAAGGACGGCGAGGGAATCTTGGGCAGGGCACCGCTGGACAGGGAGTCCAGGACCTGGAGGCCGGAGGAAGAGCCCCGTCGTGGACTGGCCATAGGGGTATCACCGCGCGGCCTTCGTCCGAGAAGGACCCCCCCAGCGCGTCGGAAGCCCCCCGCGCACCCGAACCAACGCCTCCACCGTGCCAGTGCCGCTGCTCCCTGGGCCTCTGCCGGGCCTCTGCTGGAGTACGCTCGGGCCAGAGCTGTCAGGCGACTCCAGCCGTGGCGGCGAGGGCCTCCCAGGGGAGGCCCACCAAAAAGGCGAAAACGAGGCAGGGGTATACAGTGCCGTTTTTAATACATGCTCCGCGTGCGGATCATGTATTAAACATGCAGGCATTTGTATGAAAAACAACGATGAGTTCATGCATACATTTATTCATACATTAACCAGGTAGCGGTAGCAACACACCTAGATATCCGATGACTTGATTTGTTCATGACGGGGTCCCGGGAAGTTCCGGCCCTTTGCCTATAGGGCCTAGGGGCGGCTTTTCACCCCGAGTCGTTCTGGACGGTCCCTGGGCTCGGCGAGGCTAAAATTTAAGAAATACCTCCAGACCCGTTTCCCTCAGGACCTCCTTTGTCTCATGGCGAGGAATCTGCGGTGAAGGGACAGGGTGAGGAGGAGGATGAGGAGGAGGAGAAGGAAGACCACGGTAAACCCGAGACCCATCGACGATGTTGCAATCAACCCTCCCGCCAAGTTCCCCCTTCATCGGCCCCTACAGGGATTCATCTTCATCAAAGAATGTGCCCCATTGGAAGGCAGCCGTGTGCAAATCTTAGCAAGAGCCGGAACACCCTGCCTGGGGGGGGCTCCAACGCCGCGGGTCGCGAGTGCTGCTGCGTCGTGGCGATCCTGGCTCGTGCCAGAGCACAGCTCCTGGGACTCCATCACCGCGAATCAACGTACTCCAGATTTCGTAATAAAGGGAGGGGGGTCTCATTTCGGGGGGGGGTCTCTTCCAGGCTATCTTGGAGTGCCTGTGGGGGTCTGGGGACGATGTTCTGGAGGGTTCTCCCACGGGGGAGGTCTGAAATGGCTTGTCTTGGAGGGTCCAGACCCCCTCCCTTTCATTACGAAATCTGGAGTAATTGTTGCGCCCTCACAGTCCGATAGCGTGCCACAACACCATCTCTGGAACGCCAGCCACGCGAATATTTGTGACTGTTGTGACTTCTGAACAGGAGCGTGCGCGACTCTCAGGCGAGAGCCACATTCTGGAAAGGAGCCGCCCTCCATCTGTGAAGCTGCCACACGTTGATAAACGAGTGTGCGCGGCGCCGAGGCTGGAGCGACCTCTCGACAAGGCATCGCCCTCCGTCCCTGAAGCTCTCGCACCTGCTTGCAGCAACGGCATGCGGCGCTATAAGGCGCCAGAGCCACGGAGGCCACGCGGGGCCCCAGGAGGCTTCGGGAGGCCTCGCCGGCAGAGGAGTGCCTTTCCAAGACCCCCTCTCCTCGGGAGGCCCAGCCACCCCCGGCTCGGACCTCCCGGGCAACGGTGCGGCCCGCGAGTCAGGGAGCCCCCCCTCCCCGGCCCTCCCGCGCCCTCGTGCCTCCACGCGCTCCCGGAGCGCCCCGCCGCTTGGCTCGACCGACGCCTGCGATCGCTGGCTCTCGGCGGCGGGAAATCCGAACCCCGGCCCTCTCGCCGATCCACGCCTCGCGCGACTCGATGGGCGACGGGGGTACACGTTGTTCATTTCTGATTCTTCGAGAGGTCTTTGACTCTTGTTTGGGGGCCATGACCCTGTCATGTCTAATTCTTCTATCCTGGGCCTCTTCCTGGCCACTAGGGGGCCAGGAACAGTTAATGAGCACAATTAGAAATGAGCACGATTAGAAATGAACGACGTGTAGGACTCGGAGCTCGGCGAGCACGTGGCGGATTCCGAACCCCACCCGCGCCCCCCAGCGATTCAGGTCGATGCTTGGCGGGGGTGGGGTCCGCATGTCGCCACGCACCCAGACATGCGACGTCATGTTTTTTCGAGACGGGGCCCCTGGAAGTCCCGACCCTTTCCCCCGGGACCGGTTTTTCATCCCGAGTCGTTCCTTGACGGTCCCGAGGCCCGGCGAGGGCCCCCCGAGGCCGAACTTGGCCCAAGGCCTCGCGTCCAGCTCCTCGTGCGACGCGAGCACGTCTGGCCACACGGCGCCCGCGGACCAGCAGCAGTGCTCAATGGGGCCTCTTCCTCCCAGACCTCCCTGGGCCCCGGCGCCCGAGCTGGGCCTCGGCTCCTGCAGCCAAGTCGGGCCTCTCCCTCTCCAGGGGGATCATTTTTGGAGCATTTTTTGAGCATTGGGGGGTATTTTTTGAGTATTTTTATGGTTCGCCCAAAAGCGGGGGACAGGCCCGACTTACTCCTACGGGCGGCTCCGCCCCGCGGGCAGCCCGCGCGGAGGGCCCGCCCGGGCAGCCCAAGGGCCGCATATGCAGGGCTTCCTGGGCGAGGCGCTGGCCGACCTCCAGCGCGGCTGCGCGGTGCCGCCGGTGCGGGCCTGCGGCCCGAGCCCGCCGCGGCAGCGCGGGGGGGGCACGGGGGATCGCGGTGCTCCAGGGGGCCACGTGCGAGCATTGCCCCTGCCCCCCACGAGTGCGGAGGGGGAGGGTGGGGTCCACTTCGCTCGGGAGCTCTCGAGCGAAGTGAACCCCACCCTCCCCCTGAGAAATCGTTGGGGGTAGGGGGTAGGGTTCGCACGTGGCCCCCTATCGGGGGGCACGGGGGTCGGTTCGCTCGGTGGAGTCGGGCACGGCCCGCTGCACGAGGCAAGTTCACAAGAAGAGTCGGGACATGCAAAGGTGACGGTGGTGTTTTTTCGAATGCTGTTTCTGATCATGTTTGGACGATGCTGAACTTGTCGTCCAGAATCCGCCTGCAGAGGACATGCTCGACCCAAGTCTTTGGCCCTCTTCGGCCTCGGGGGGGCCCTTCTCGGGCCCCCGGGGACGTCAGGAACGCATCCCCCAGTCTACCCTGAGATCCTGGCGTTGCAATTTTGTCACAGCGGACGTTTTCGCCTGGTGTTGGGCCACGGGGCCCTCACAGATCGATCGGGCTAAAATAATGATGCAGAACGATGGGCCTCCGGGCGTGATTTTTCTCGCTGCCGCAATTTTTTCGCAACGTCGGATCTCAGGATATTCTGACGGCTCGACGGCTTCGCGTCTCGGGGCCCTAGACCTTCCAGCTGGCTGGGGGTCCGAGGCGGCCCAGCATTTGATGCAGGCCCGCAGGGAAGGCTGGCAGGCTCGAGGCTCAGTGAATGGCAGGGTTTTTTTTGTGACCCTCTCGGGCCTCGGGGGGCCGGCTTCGGGCCCCGGAGGGAAGAAGTGCACCCGATGGACCTCGGGAGGGGTCGGGGGACCGATGCTTGGCGGATCTGGCCTCGCCCCCCCCTCTCCTGGCTGCGTCCCTGAGAGAGTCCCAGCCAGCTCAGGCCCCCCCAGTGGCCTCCAACGTTTGGGGGGCATGTGCTCAGAGGAGGGGGACGCCTCGACCCCCCATCTCCTGTTCATCGCCGCTGGGGCCCGATCGCCCGCCCCGCCCAGGACCAGGCGGATCTCGAAGCCGGGAGCCTGTCGCCAATCCATCGGCGATGCATCGCCGATTGGAGCTCGATGCTTCCCCCCCTGAGCTGGTCCCCCCCTATAAGGCGGGGGTGTGCGTCAAGGACTGTGCCCAGGAGGCTTCAGACCTTGGCGGATGCCTTACCTGGTGGGGGCGGCGGTGGTATCCAGGGCCAGTCCCCGACTGGGCCCGCCAGCTTCCAGACCGTGGATTCCTTGTCCACTGGTTCCTGTGTGGTTCCTGTGTGGAGGGAGGTGCCTCTCGCTTTCCCTGTGGCCCTTCCTCCTGGCCGCGCCGCCGTGCGCCATGCTGCACTGTTTGGTGGTTTTGTTCGACGACATGCCAGCAAGTACTTCGGTACGCGAGGAGAGAAACACAACCGCCCTCACCGTATCGTTGCCCCTCAGGCAGCTGCAGGGCCTGGCCGGGGAGGGCGGGCGCTACAACGGCGAGGAGCTGGCGCGCCTGCTGGCGGTGGTCGGCGAGGACGGGACCCTCAGAGCCAGGCGCCTGCAGCCGCTTCACAGCGGGCGTGTCTTCGCCAAGCTTCACGGCCTGGGCCATCCCAGATCGATGCGGCTCAGGACATGTCGCGTGAGCACGGGGTCTGGGGCTCGGGTCGCGATGTTTCGCGATGAAGATTTGTTTGTTGTTGCACCGGTGGGTCTGAGGGAGGGGAGGGAGGCACCCGATGTGCCGCGAGGCATTTTTTTGCGCGGTCGGGAACTCTTGGTCAGCGTGTCGCTCCGCCCGTTCTGGCCCACCATGCGTCGGCGCGACACGCGAACCACGTCTCGGCCCCCGAGCGTCAGCGTCCCGAGCCTTGCCCAGCCTCCCGTCTTGCGGAGCGGAGCGGCACGCCAACCGCTTGCAAGGCACCTCGGGTCGCTGGGGGCCGCCGCGGCGACGCGCGAAACCGAGGTCTTTACCGTACCCCCTGGCGACAACCGGCGTGACTGGTGGCGGGCGAGGCCCTCGCCGCCGCGGCTGGGTTCGCCTCGAGAAGAGGTCTCGCGAGTCTCCGCCTCCTCCTCCCCCTCCCTCTCCTCCTCCTCCTCCTCCTCCTCCTCCTCCTCCTCCTCCTCCTCCTCCTCCTCCTCCTCCTCCTCCTCCTCCTCCTCCCTCCTCCTGGAGTAGGAGTGGCCTCCACAGAGGAGCTGGGGGCTGCCGCCCGGGGCGTGCCCAAGGGGCCCGCGGACGTGGGCCGGCTGGTGGAGCTCATCAGGCAGGCGACGGAGGCGCTCGTCTGGGGCGAGCGCCACGACGTGTGGCTGTTCGACATCTTCTGCGAGCGGCAGGCGCTGGCGGCCTTCGTCGGAGCGCTGTCGGCCTCCGGCACGGATCCGGCCGTGCGGGTCCAGCTGCTGCAGACGCTGTCGATCTTGGTTCAGAACGCGCGCCGCGAGACCTCTTTTTATTACTTGCTGAGCGGTGGCCACCTGAACTCGCTCTTGTCGTGGAACCCTGACCTCCGCGACGAGGAGGTGTTGGCGTACTACGTGACCTTTATGAAGAGTCTCGCGCTACGCCTGGATGGTGAGACTGCACTCCTCGTGCTGGACGGGCACAAAGAGAGCGACGGCGAGAGGACCTTCCCACTGTTCGAGCAGGCAGTGAGGTTCACCACGCACCGCGACCAGATGGTGCGGACAGCAGCACGGACCACCGTCCTGAGCCTCCTGGGCATCAGTCAGCCTCAGGTGCGCGGCTGCGTCGTTCGAGCGGCTTGCCGTACGCTCTCGCCCAGCCTGACCCACGCCTTGCGCACTAACTGGGGCATTGCGAGCGCGGCGCTGCGGCTGCGCGATGCGGAGGCGCTGCAGCAGTCGCTAGAGGCGGAGGAGGACCTCCTGGGGCTGCTGCACGAGCTCTTCCTGCTGAACGTTGGCGAGGTCAGGGACTCCATTGCGAGCTCCGTGTTCACGGGCGGGCTGCTTCCTCTGCTGGGTGCCCTCTCGCCGCCGATCTTCTACCCGGACGGCTGCGGCCAGCAGAGGCCCGACGGGGACGAGGCCTCGCTCGAGCGGGCGCCCGATAGCTTGGCGGGCGCCTGGTTCTACCATGGGCAGACTTCGGGCTACCACATCGTCGAGGTCCGGCCCGGGCAGCTGCGGTTCGAGGAGCCGTCCAGCGACGGCCGCTGCGTGCGGGGAGACCTGCGCGCCTGCGGCGATTGGCTGCAGGCACAGGTTCGCTTCGACGACGGGATGGAGCACGGCTGCATCCGCCTGCGCCTCGCTGACGGTCTCCTGACCTCCAACTTCCGGGGGCGCGGCTGTCCCGACTGGGGCGAGGACGTCCTCGCGCACAGGGCGGGCGCGGAGGCGGACCGCAGCTGCGCCCAGCGGCTCGGCCACCGCAGGGCGCCCGGCAGCTGCGGCGGCTGCCGTCTGCCGCTGGACGGCCTCTTCGCCCGGCAGCCGAGCTGCGGTTCCGCGGGCGACCCGCACAGGTCCGTGCAGCAGGCGCCCCCGCCGCCCGCGCAGCGGCGTCTGCCAGCGCCCGAGCCGCCCGCGGTTGCCATCGCGGTGCGCGCGGTGGCCGTCTGTGTGCGGGCCCTCGGCTCGCACATCGACGTGGTGAGGCCCCTGGCAGAGACGCTGCTGTGGCCGTCCATTCCCTCCGCCGTCGTGGCGGCCGTGCACGGGCAGGAGGACGGCATGGAGGAGGAGGAGGAGGAGGAGCCGGGCGCGGCGGCGGCGGTCTCGGGCCTCGTGGGCTCCGCGAGCGCCAAGGCAGGGCTTGGCGCGGGCGCCGCTGCGGCCGCGCGCCACGAGGCGCCCTCGCCCTCCGTGCTGATTGCGAACCCGTTCCGGGCCGCGGTGCTGGAGCTCCTCGGCGCAGCCGGGCGCGGCGGGGCGCGGCCCGAGGCGCCCCTGGCCGCGTGGGCGGTCCACGAGCTGCTGGGCTCGCTGCCCCCCGAGGTGCTGGATGTCGCCGGCCTGTGCAGCAGCGGCCTCGACGTGCACAGCGTGGCGCAGCCGACGTGGGCGGCCCAAGAGTCCAGGACGCTCCTGGTCGAGCACGTCGTGAGCACCGTGCGGGCGCAGCCGGGCCAGCCGCGCATCGCTCAGCGCACGTTGGCCGCTCTCGCGGTGGCCGTGGCGGCGGCCGCCTCGTGCTCGAACGCCGAGCGTCGCCGCGCAGCGGCCGTGGCCGCCTCCGCGCTTAGCCGCGCCGGCGCGATGCTGCGCGACGCGGCCGCGGAAGCGGGCCGCAGGCTACAGGAGGGCTCCCCCGACGAGGCCGCGGGGCTCGTGCGCTGCTTCCTCGAGGAGTGGGAGTGGCATCGGGCATGGGCCTGGCGCCCGGATCTGCCCGCCTGCGGCAGTGCCGAGAGCCTGCTGCAGTGCAGCGCGGAGCAGGGCGGCCTGAGCTCGTTCGTGGAGGCGGGCGGCGCGGCGGCCAGCCGGCCCCTGCTGCGGTCGCTGCTGACGCTGCTGCAGCTGAAGCAGGACCTCGCGGCGCTCTGCAGCAGGAAGGGCGCCGTGGCCGAGGAGGTCATCCTGGGCTCGGACGAGCCCGCGTTCGAGGAGCTATGCCCCCTCTCCGCGGAGCTGGAGGTCGGCACGGGCGGCTTCGGCGCGCGCTCCGCCGCGTGGTCCTCGGCGCCGGCGGGCCCGGCGGCGGGCGCGGCCCCGCCGCTCCCCGCCTCAGTGGGCCACCGCCCGGCGGCGTGCGAGGTGCAGCCGTGCTCGAGCCCGCAGGGGGAGCAGCTGGAGATCATGATCCAGCCGACCTGGGTGCAGGTCTCCAGGGAGCAGAAAGCAGCATATACATGAACTTTCGGAGCTCCGCGCGGACTTCCTGGGTCTGCGCGGGGGCCCCCCTGGCGGCGCCTCCGGCGCCGCCCCTGGCGCGCTCCGAGCGCCAGGGAGGGGGGTCCGGCGCGGCTCCACGAAGTCCGCGCGGACCTCCAACAGTGTACGCTTGCACAGCTTGTCTTCTCCTAGGTCTCGGACCAGCTCGACAGGGCCGCGGGCCCTGCCGTCCGCATCCGGGCCCCGGTGTGGCGCGTCTCCGCCGCGGCTGTCCCCGGCGACAGCCTGCACCTGCTCGTGCGCGTCCACGGCGGCGCCAAGGGCGGCGGTGGCCAGAGACATTCCGCCCGCGGTGGTGCCGAGGAGGAGGTGCGTCTCCGCTTCGCCGACGTGGGCGCGCGGGCGCGCGTGCTGGACCAGCTCGAGGCGCGCCGGCGGCAGGAGCTGCAGCGCTTCCTCGGGCAGCTGGGCTCGTTCGCGGAGCGGAGTGCGGTGTTCGTGGCCACGGCTCCTGCCGACTCGGAGGAGCCGCTGGGCGGCGCGCGGAGTCCTGCGGGCAAGCTCGGAGGCAAAGCGGCCACGATGTCTCGGGGGGCTTCTGGCGGTGCCGCCTCCGAATTCCCGCAGGGCTGCGCAGGGTTGCCACGGGCACTTTCCTTGTTGCTACCCTGCGTGGTACCTGCACCCACTTCGATCTTTGAGTAAATGTTAGGGTCACCTGCCGTTGAGCACAGGACTCACTTAGCAGGGCAGCGCGCTTTACGTACAGAGTAAAAGGGAGGGAAGAGGCCTGGGGTAAGATGGAGTAATCGGAGGGGTATGTGGGAGATGAGTGTTGGAGGTGCTGCTTGTTTTTGTTGATGCGCATCCGCTGGCTATCAGCCAGCCGCTATTTCTAGGGAGTTGCCAGCCCACTCACGGTCTCAAGGAAGCAGGTGTGCGAGGATGGCGACGCGCAGCGGAATGCACCGAGGGGTGACGGCGGGCAGGCAGTTGATGAGTACGCTTGGCTAGTGGACATGAAAGTGTGTCGGCCCAGCGGGCCATGCTCCTGCCCGCGGCTCCGCGAGAAAAGCATAGGACTGCTGGGGAGCCGCAGGGCGCGCTGACTGGGCCCAAGAGGTTCCCTGGAAGCCCCCCCCCCCAGGGACCCCAGAGGCACCCCAAAGAGCTTACCCCGAAGACCCCAGGACGCCCACTTGCGAGTTCCAAGGCGGCCGTCAGATCCTGCAGGAAGAGCCTTAAAACCACACTCCGCTCAAATTCGATGTCCACCCACGCCGGCCCTGGACAGATCGAAGGTCCCGAGTGACTGCCCCCTGCACTCGAGTGTAGCCCCAAAGGTCCTTGGGTACCCGTGGAGTTTGAGGGTATGTGTGGACGTCTCCGTTTATTCTCTCCAGATGGCTCCAAGAGCGTCGTGGAGGAGCCTCAGGCAGGCGCCCCAATGAGGCCAGGGCCCCCTTGCGGACCAAAGCGCGCCCAGCGCGCGCGCGCATGCGTGCGTGCGTGCGTGCGTGCGTGCGTGCGTGCGTGCGTGCGTGTGTGTGTGTGTGTGTGCGTGTGTGTGTGTGGTGTGGTGTGTGCGTGTGTGTGTGTGTGTGTGTGTGTGTGTGTGTGTGTGTGTGTGTGTGTGCGTGTGTGTGTGTGTGTGCGTGCGTGCGTGCGTGCGTGCGTGCGTGCGTGTGTGTGTGTGTGTTTGTGAGAAAGTATGTGTGTGCGCGCGTGTGTGTGTGTGCTTCGAGTGCTGGTGTGCAAGACTGCATGTGCGCTTCGCGCCCCCCGCCTTTCTTTTCCACGTGTCGACGCCAAGGGTGGAGGAGCGGGCAGACGCGCAGGCAATCACCCCCATGGGATGGTCATGCACGGGGCTCGCACGTCTGGCAGCAGGCCCGCAACTCACGGTGGGGCCTCTGGATGCCCCAGCAGGTTCGGAAAGGGCCAGGGGCGCCCGCCAAGACCTCGAGACTCAGTCCTCGTGCCCCCCTCGAGGTGCCCTCCTGGGAGCTGCCACTCGTCCTGTTCCTCGAGCCTTTGTTCCTTCCCTTCGTCGGCGGCTGTGAGGGGTGGTGCCGGCCCAGGGTGCCCAGCTTCTCGCGCGATGTTGGCGGTTTCGGGGGCCATCTTGGGGCGTGGGGAGCAAAACCTTAGCCTGAGTTCCCCCCCCCTTGGGGCCGTCTTGGGGGCCTGGCGGGCCGTCTTGAGGTCCTGTTGGGCCTTCCAGCGGGCCTCCTGGGGGCCTCTTGGGCCGACTTGTGCCGATCGTGGGGGCCTATGGAGCCGTCTTATCGAGCGTCGGAAGCCCGAACGGGCGGGATCGCGAACTCCTGTCGAACACCTGGCGAAAGCAGTTGGCTTTTCCCTCTCGAGGCCCCCTAGGTCAGGGGGTTGCTCGAGGGGGCCCTGCCTCCTCTACCTCTACATCCGGCAAGGCCGTCGCTAGGGCGGAGTTGGCAGAGCACCCCCCTTCGAGCATCGTCGGGGAAGGCCTGCTTTGATCGGGCAGCAAACCATGACAGAAACATCACAACTCGGAGGTCCGCGCGGACTTCGTGGATCCGCGTTGGACCCCCCTCTCCGGCGCGCGGAGCGCGCCAGGGGCGGCGCCGGAGGCGCCGCCAGGGGTCTCCAGCGCGGATCCGAGAAGTCCGCGCGGACCTCCGAGTTTTTATGTTTTACGTTTATCTCGCTGTTCGTTCCCCACTTGGCGGGCCCTGCCTCGACAGACAAAGGAGTCCCCAATATGGCGGGCCCTGGATATCTACAGACAGGGCCCGCCGCTTGCGAGAAGAGGCGGGCGTGCTCCTAAGTCCTGAGATGTTTTATGTTTATTTCGCTGTTCGTTCCCCAATATGGCGGGCCCTGGCTATCTGCAGCCAGGGCCCGCCGCTTGCGAGAAGAAGCAGGTGTGCTCCTGAGAAGCCTTCCCCCCTCCCCCTATAGCCCCCCTCTGCGCGCGGCCGGCCCCCGACGTCTCGCTCTGCGCACGAGGCCGGCCACAACTGGGGGAGCTGTGTTCCTTCCTCCCCTGGGGGGACCCATCGATTTCGACACCCCTCTCGAGAGATCGTCGATGCGATGGGTTCCCCAATCGGCGGGCCCTGCATCTACAGACAAAGGAGCGGGCGTGCTCCTGAGAAGCCTTCCCCCCTCCCCCTAGCCCCCGTCTGCGCGCGGCCGGCCCCCGACGCCTCGCTCTGCGCACGAGGCCGGCCGCAACTGGGGGAGCTGTGCTCCTTCCTCCCCTGGGGGACCCATCGCGTTCGACACCCCTCTCGAGAGATCGTCGATGCGATGGGTTCCCCCAGGGGGGTAAGGACCACAGCTCCCCCAGGTATGGCTGGTCGGGCGCACCGTGTGCCCCCGAAGAGGCCTGCTGGACCCCCCTCCCCGTGGGTGGGCGCTCCGAGCCCCCCGAGCCCCTGCCGGCGGAACGCTCCCGCGGGTCGGGCGCGGGCAGGCCACCTCCAGGCCGAGCGGTGTGCCCCCCTCGTGCGCGTTTGGCCGCGGGCGCCCCACGGGGCCCGGACGGGCCGGGAGGCGGTCGGGCCACCGCGGCGCGCAATACGATTAAGATGGGGACTGGAAGAAATAAGAGCATGTTTCTTTCTTGCTTGGGGCGTGACGGGCGTCATGGCCCCCGCCCCCCCCCTCCCCCCTATGAAGTAACGCTCCCCCCCAGTGCGCTCCGGGCACTGCCGCCGTGCGCATCGAGATCCGCATAGGTGGCCGCATAGGAGTCTGGCCCGCAGTCGTCGTCGTCATCGTCGTCGTCGTCGTCGTCATCGTCGTCGTCGTCGTCGTCGCTCGCCGCTGTCGCTCGTCGCTCGTCGCTCGTCGCTCATCATCGTCGTGCGCGCGGACTCGGTGGGAGCCTATGGTTTAATCCGGGCCAATGGCGGCAATCATCTGGGGAGGGATGGTGCCGATGACGTCACGTTTCGCGCCAGCGGCGTCTGGGAATGCCTAGGAATGACCGGGGACGGGTCGGAGCAGCATGTAGGTGGCGATCTGTACCACAGCGCCTGTGTACACCACAGTGCCTGCGTGCACCACGGCGCCTGTGTACACCACGCCGCATATGTGCACCACAGCAGCCGCGTGCAACACAGTGCCAGTGTGTGCCACAGTGCGTGCGGCACCACAGCGCTTGTGTACACAACGGCGCCTGTGTACACCACATCAGCCGTGTGCACCACAGCACCAGTGTACACCACAATGCCTGCGCACACTACAGTGCCTGTGTACACCACGGCGCCAGCGTGCGCCACAGCAACCGTGTGCAACAGATCACCACGGTTGCATACGTATAGAATTTTAGAAGGAGTCCTGATGGCAAAATGGAGTGCCTGTGGATTCCACAGAAAGCATTCGTTTTATATAGGATTTGTAAAGGAATCAATTTGGAAAAACGAGCGACGCTGGAATCCGAGGCTCCTGCAAAACTGGCCGTCCGAAAACCAAGTGGACTAATTCAATAGTCAGTAAACCATTCTGCGGTGCACGCATACATGCGCACGTGCGCTGTAGCGCCGACCCGCACGAAAGGGGGGAAAGGTGAGGGAGCAGGAGGAGGAGGAATAGGAGGAGAAGGAGAAGGAAGAGGAGGAGCAGGAGGAGGAAGAGGAGGAGGAGGAGGAGGAGGTGGAGGAGGAGGGGGAGGTGGAGGTGGAAGAGGAGGGAGGAGGGAAGAACGCTGCATTCTATTATCAGCACTTCCCTGGCGTGGCGTTTAGATGTCAACAGCAGATCCTCACCTACATGCTCCTTCTACCTGTCCTGTGCTACAGGCGCTGTGGTGTACACCAGCGTTGCGTTGCACGCGGATGCTGACACAGGCGCTGTGTTGCACATGGTTGCTGCGGTGTACACATTCGCTGTGGTGTACACCGGCGCTGTGGTGCACGCAAACACTGCGTTGTACACAGGTGCTGTGTTGCACACGGCTGTTGCGGGGTACACAGGCGCTGTGGTGTACACGCGCTGTGGTGCACGCGAGCATTGTGGTGTACACAGGCGTTGTGGGGCAGATCGCCACCTACATGCTGGTCGCGTCGTGATCGTCGTCGTTCGTCGCTCGTCGCTCGTCGCGCATCGTCGTCGTGCGCGCGGGCGCGGCTGTGGTGCTGGAGTCGCACGGCGGGGGGGGGGGGGGGGGGGCGTTACGTCATACCCCCCCTCGCCCCCCCCCCCCCACCCCACCCCCTTCCCCACGACGCTCGTCATTGCCGAAAATAATGAAACGCACTCTAAGAATAATGGTAATACGAATAATATTAATGATAAGCAGAAAAATAAGAATAATAAGAAGACGGAGAAGAAAAAGAAGAAGAAGAAGAAGAAGGAGGAGGATAATAATAATAAGAAGGATGATAATAATAATATTAATAACAACAATAATGATAATGATCATAAGGATAAGAAGAAGACCCAGACAGGATCGCGTCGTTAACAAAAACATACACACAAAACATCAGGAGGGGAGGTTTTTGGCCAATGTCGGCCTCGTGGGGCGCTCGCCGGGCCCCATGAAAGCAACCCCCAGAACGCACCCTGGGAGGGCTCCGGGACTACTTCTGGGTGCAGGTGCCGTTTGGCGCCCCCCCCCCTCCCTCTCTCGCTCTGCTCCGGCCTGCCTCGCTCGCACCTGGTGCCTCCCCGGAGGGGCTGGCGGCTGGCGGCCGGCGCGACCCCTGGCAGGTGGCCCTTCTCGCAGCAGGGCCCCGCGTGCCGCCGCGCGCGCCTGCTTCCCCATATAGCACCGGCGCCTTCCTCCCCCCGGCGGGCGGCGGCGGCGGCTCCCCGCCGCGCGCCAGCTCGGCGGCCCCCGTCGCCAGGCCGTCGGAGACGACTTCGAGCGCATGGACATCGAGCGGGTGGCGAAGGCAGGCGCGCGCGCGCGCGCGCGCGCTCCCGTCCTCGCCCGGCCACGCGTAGAAGGGCGACTCTTCATTCGCTGGAGTGGCCTTCCGGTGCGGGCGGGCACGCCTGGGGGTCTCCTGGCCACGGCATGCGGCGCGGCATCCGCGGCTTGTCGCGCTTGGGTCCGGCCCCCCGCGGCCCCCCACTGCCGC